CAGTTCAACACAGATTCGGAATAAGAACCTCTTTGCTCTCTATTTTCGTTTATTCTCATTTAAATTCTAAGTATTTTCGTCATCTTATTTTCGTTGTGCGGTTCTCGCAGATAGCCGGTTCCTCTGGAAACTTAGGGTTTTCCCGAAGTTTCCTTTTTTACGATTTATTTGACAGTAGGGTGAAATCGACTCCCACACTGACCACTCTCATTACTTCTTCACATTCACGGGGCTCAACCTTGCGAAAGAATAGGCTATCATCAGCAAAGAGAAGGTGAGATACCGAAGGACACACACGCTTAATGCGCATCCCCGTTATCCTCCCTTGATTCTCTTTATGATTTAGAAGGCTAACGAGCGCTTCCGTGCATTGAATAAAAAGGAAAGGGGACAGAGGATCCCCCTGCCTAAGACCTCTCTCTGGAATAATATTCCCCTTGGATGGCCATTCATAAAGACCTTATACTTTACGGATATAACACAGCGCATTATCCAAGTTATCCAGATCTCCGAGAAACCCATCTTTCTCATAGGTTCCTCAATGAAGGACCACTCCATTCTATCGTACGCCTTACTCATATATGTTTTAATGGCCATCCTCTTATTGCGGCCACTTGGTTTGGTCCTTAGAGCATGGAAATATTTCTGGGCAATCATAATATTATCAGATATCTGTCTCCCAACAACAAAGGCTGACTGGGTTTCTGAAATCCGTTTAGGTAGAACCTTTTTTAACCTCTGGCATAAGACCTTAGAGATTATCTTTTAAAAGGAATTTATTAACCATAAGAGTTAGATCATCTTTTACAATATCCCAAAATTTCTAGTAGAAAAGCAGTCATTCCATCTGGCTCTGGGGCTTTCTCTTGATGCATTGCAAAGAGAGCCAATTTGACTTCCCATTCAGTGACCGGATCTGTGAGATTCTCATTGTCGACTGATGTAATGGATGTAGTCACCTCAGATAGTGCTTCCTCTATATCCTCTGGGTTTGATGATTGAAATATATGTCTAAAGTAACTTGTAGCAATGGCTACAAGTCCTTCCTCATCATGTACAACATTCCCATCCTCATCCAGTAATTGTGTAATCATGTTTCTCGCTCTTCTCTGTTTCGTAAGGGCATGAAAGAATTTAGTATTTCTATCTCCTTCCCTCAACCAAAACACCATGCACTTCTGCTTCCAAAACATCTCTTCCGCCTTAAGAACGTCAGATAGTTCCTTTAAAGCTGCCGCAATCTCCTCTGTAGTGGCGTCATCGTTGGAAGATAATTTGTGTACCTTTTCTTTCAACTCCTCCACACTCTTCGCTGTATTCAGGTTATTCTGCCTTTTCCAATCATATAAGGCTCACCGGAAACTTGCAATATGCTCCATGATTTCCATCCTTCAAGTATGACCTGCCTGAGCTCCTCATTTTCCAGCCATCTCTTATCAAATTTGAAATTTTTCGATCTCCACGGTTTCTTTTTAAGAATGTCCGCTAGGATCGGACGATGATCCGATCCCCATAGCCTCAAATACTGAACTTTTGAATGTGGAAACTTCTCGTGCCAGTCCTCATTCCCAACAGCTTTGTCAAAGCGGCATCTAACCATAGTCCTCCCTGCTCTTTTTCCTACCCATGAAAGCATGTTCCCTGTGAAAGGAAAATCCAACATACCACAATCGCTCAGCATTTGCTTGAAGAGTAAGAATGAGCTGTCTGTGCGTTGTCTACCTCCCTCCTTCTCCTCATGACATGTTATTTCATTAAAGTCTCATATCATAAACCAAGGCCCATTTCTTGTTGTTGAGAAACGCGTAAGACGTTCCCAAACTAAATCTCTTCGTTCAAGTACAGGATCTCCATAAACAAATTTCATAGACTTTTATTCCATCAATGACTGCCTCAGTGTCAATCATTTTGTTATTTGAAATTAAAACATTAACTTGAAATTCATCCATAAAAAATAAAGCTAAACCACCGCTGAGACCAAGTGGCTAAGCGGGTAAACAAACGATAAAATCCTAAGTCGGCCTGAATGTCTTGCAACAACAGCCTTCTGTTCTTTGTTTAGAAATAAACAGAAGTCCTGGACGATGCTTCTGACACATCTCCGTAAAACATTGAACTGTGAGGTCGTTCCAAATACCTTGACAGTTCCAATTGATTGTCCTCATATCTGACACGTGGATGGGTTATTGGAACCCATCGAACCATGATCCTTACTTGTACTCTTATGTGTCTTCTTGGAACTGTGGTGCGATCGCCTTACCTTTTCATTCACACCCTTTGGCTTTTGTGCTGAGGACAAACTTGATCGCTTTCTTGGAGAACCTCGACGAAGGAACTCAGTTTTCTTAGTTTGAATACCCAAAGGAGCATTCATTCTGGATCCACTCCTAGAGTGTTTTGACACTTTAGCTTCTGGTTTTGAACTTGTTGACCCAGCCGGTAAGGAATGGGGCTGTACGTCCATATCCCTAAGTTCTTCATCCATTAGATCATCGTCTTTATCATCATATGCCAAAGCGTTGTCTTCAAATCCTCCTTACAACTCCATATCACTCAGCGCCCCTATTACCTGCTCATCTTCTTCCACCTTATCGGATACAAGGGGAGAGAAAGTGAGAGATCTTGCCACACTCTTACTTCGGACAGTAACATTATCCTCCGTGGTTTGCAGTTGAGGAATAGGAAATACAATGTCACTGGCTATTCTTCTGATCTGATGTTCCCCTCCACGCAACTCTGTCTCTCTGCTTAGGTGACAATGATCACCTTGTCCTATTAAAGAGGAGGATCGTGAAACTTGTTTAGTAGGAACAATGTCATGAGATACATTGCTATCACTCCTTTCTCGGACACTGTATTGGTTTCCCTCAGTTATTTTATCCTTAGATTTCTCACGCCAAGTTAGTTCCTTCTGACGACCATACGGTCCAGAATCATATCGAGAGGTAGCATGACGGTATTTCCTTGAGTTCTCATCTCGACCTCTTATGATCCTATATGAGTGCTTTACAACAGCTTTGTTTATATCTCTTGTGCTTGGCTCCAGTTTCTTGTATTTGTCTCTATAGTTCCCAGATCGTGTACCATCATTCAATCTATACCGCATATCGTTGTGACGTAAGTTGGGAGGAATGGCCAGACGAGACGAGTCAAAACCTGCCTGACCATCTCGTACTTTGGTTTATCATTCAGCAAAGGCTGACGATCCAGGGGTTCCTTTGTCGATTGAATTCGCTCAAAGATCCCTCCTTTTACCATCTTAGCATTAGTGTTATTGACCAAAGTTGGGCAGTAACCTTTTTCATGAGACATCAAACCATATATAGTACAATGCTTAAAAAGCATGTCATATTTGATTTCAATGGCGAGTTCCTCTCCCCCAGGACTCTGCACCTTCCTTTTGAAATTCAATGGTTTTCTTGAATCAACATCAATAAGCATACGACCCTCTGTGAGCTCAATTGTGTCTATGGATCCAATTCTGCTTCCTATATTACTCATGTTCTTATCAGTCCACAAATGAAGAGGCATCCCAACTATTTGGATCCATAATGGAATGATCCATGGGTAGTCATAATGTACTATCAGTTCCCATCTCACTAAAACATACATACAATAGTTGTAATGGAATGGGCGCTTAAGGAGAACTGAGTTTAGTTCTTCTTCCGAAGTAAATTTAAGCAAGAACTTCCCATTTTCTAGATCATTGGCTGTGATCTTATCTTGCAAACCCCTCTGAGATGGCATTTTTTGAAGTAGCTTCTCTACGTTTAGTTTTTTAGGATTTAAAATCTTGCCAATCAGGGACATACGAAACTCTTTGATGACATAAGAATCATCATGTTCCGTAAGCTTAATTGGCTCATAATCATCCTCGTACAAAATTCCTTTTCCTTTAAGATCAGCCATATGAGCAGACCTAGATTGATTGTGAGATCCCATAGAAAGGTATGAGGAAATGTATCTTGACTACACTGATATCCGATCGCAGTTGTTGTCGTTGAGTAAAGCGTAATGAAACTGGTGATAGGAGAGATCGGTACTTCAACGGAAGATAACGATTCCAAACATCTCTGGCTCAACCGTTTCGTGATGGAGGCGCAATCCCACCAGAGCTTGAACACTTTCATGGCTGCAAAACGACGTGTTGATGATGATGATACAGAGACGTAGATGATGAGTGGTAGATTTTGATTCACAATCGTATACGAGTGGTGAAGCGGAGACGTGGTGTATCAGTGAAGCAGCCGTGGAAACAATCCAAACAGGGGGTGCGGCGAAGTACTACACAGAACCGTGTTGCAGATAGCTCTGGGTTGGTGATCTAGTATCAAAGGATACTAGATCAGGTGAAGATCGCGATCTCGAAGAAGATCACAATCTCATGTCTTTGTCGCTCTTTATGTCGCCGCCGCTAGGGTTCTCTTTATTAAACAGATTGTTATTATTAGAGCATCCACAATGGCGGATCCTTGGGGGGAATCCTTAGGAAAAAAGAGAAAGGGGTATTTCGGATTATATAAGGATATTTCAGATTTTTTCTTTATAAAAAAAACTGACCACTCACGGATCGCCACGTGGGTAGTGGAGCCCGCGAATAGTGTAAGGATCAATCCTTACATAAGGATTTTATCCTTAAAATCCTTAACTGTTCATGGGACCCATTGATTATAAAATTAATATTTCCCTAAGGATCCTCCATTGCGGATGGTCTTATAGGTTTTTGGCACGTTTGTTATGTTTTAAAAACTCGCATAGTAAGTACGTTAGTATGTTATATTAGTGTCAAGATTAAAGTTCGGGTCAAAATAAACAAGTACAGCGCAAAAAGTTTTTAATTAGTAATGCTCTTATAAAAATATACTAGGTGTTTTGCCCGCAAATGCGGGCATAATTTTCGTACAATTTATTATTAGTCTATATTTTATTAATTCAAACTAATATAATAAGTTAGAATTTATGTTTTAAAATTAATTATAAATGACAATACTCGCATAACAAAATATTTTTAAAAATATATTTTTACAAATGTGTTGCTATAATTTATTTTAATTATAATTTTTCTATCTTATTTTTTGGTTTCTATAATAAAATATATATATTTTCAAGATAACAATATAATACATAAGAAATATCTTATTTTCTCAAAATATATTTTTAACAGAAATTCGTTTTAATTTTAAAATAAATTTTACATGAAAGTAGTAAAAATATGACAAATAATCAAATTATCTAAATCATGGAGAAAATACAAATCGGATAATTCACTAAATTTTCTAATAGAAAATATATGTTTAATATAACAATCTAATACATAAGAATTATCTTATTTTTAAAAATCTAGTATTATTAGTATACATTCTTTTTATTATTTAATAAATTATATATGAAATTATTAAAATATAATAACTAAGCAAAATATAAAACCATGGAGAAGTTGATAAATCAGCATTGCTTTCTTTATATTTAACTATTAATAATTTAACTTAATTTTTAATTTCTATGATAAAAAATATATTTTAAAGATAACAATATAATACATAAGAATTATCTTATTTTCTGAAAGTATAGTATTATTAATAGACATTTGTTTTATTATATGATAAATTATTCATAAAATTATTTAAATATAACAAATAAGCAAAATTACAAAAATCATGGAGAAGTTACAAATCAATCAGTTAATTCATTTGAATTTTATAATAGAAAATTACAAAAATCATGGAGAAGTTACAAAAATCATGGAGAAGTTACAACTTGATGGGGGCACACTTTGTTTAAGTTTATCATTGTAATAGAAGGTAAAAAGTTTTTAGTTGGCCTTCAGGTTGGTCCCGTGCGAAATTTAAATGAAAGAAGTTCTAAGTTTAACTTTTTTTGTTATTGTTCTTCACTTGGTTACTTCGCATAGTTCCCTGCAGGGTCATCTTGTGCTTCACGTATGTACGCCAATGGGAGAAAATTTTGTGTTATGTATTGTCCTAATATTTACATATTTCTTCACACCAGAAAATGCCTGCTGATATGTTTTCTCTGGTGACTTATTCTAAAGATTCTTCTACATCTTGTATATTCTGGATGAAGGTATCTGGGATTAGATTACACAAGATTGAATGTTTTTTTTGTTATGCAGACGCAACAAAGACAAAAAGGAGGAAAAGGTAGAGCCTGAGGCTGCTACTTAATCCTAATACTTAATAATGTTTGTATACATATGAAAGTGTTTTTGATGAATAATATGCTCATGTAGATCTATGTCCTAATTTGGTATTTATATCTACTCTTATCTCTATCATTTGCACACACAAAAGTTGTTAATATTCACTTGGGATTGTATGAAACATTCATTGTATATATGGATATACTAGATTTTCATGTGTTTCAAGTGCAGTTTTTTTATTATTCAAATTTTGATATAAATTATTATTTTGGGATTGTTGTATATTATTATTTTACAAATTCGTATTATACGGATGACTTCTTAAAATTATATAATTTAAGAATTATTTTATTTGAAATTTTAAGTGCATACTTTAACTCTCTCTTGTGTATAGACATTTTACCCGAACCCGAAAAGCCAAATCGATGTCGACCCAAAACTACAAGTTCGTTTTGGGTCCGGGTCTAAGAAAATAAAACTTATATTGTATATTCTTTACCTGCGGGGATTTATCCGTGATCTAATTGGATACCCAAAGTATCTAAATTGTTTTGTGTGTAGTAGGTATATTTGGATAACTTAGATATGTTTTTGGTATTATAGATATTTAAAAAAAATTGTTGGATTTTTTTTATAATATTGAGTTCTCAGTATAAAATATAATTTTAAAAATACTTATGTAAAGCGTTGAGCGAATTAAAGACTAAAGTAGTTTATTTAAATGTTAGAAGATATTATTTGTTTGATATAATAAATGTTGGTTATAAGATTTAGTTTTATATAATAGAATAGATTTATAATGAATTAAAGTGGTATATTTGAATTTTAGAAGATATTATTTGATCTATACTATTATTTGCGAAGTGATTTTTCGCAACGGAGCTCTCACGTTAAAAGTTAGAACGGTTAATATCGACATTACCCTTAAATGAATAAATATATAAATCAGCCAATAAAAAAACGAATTTAATATTTATTTGATTAGATAAATAATTTAAATTAATAAAAATGATAAGAATTATCCATAATCTAAATATATATTTAAAAATAAAAAGATAATTCCTATATATATTGTGTTGTTATCCGGAAAATATATTTAATAAAAAAAATTCAAAAACATAAAACACATAAATAAATATTAATTAAGTAAAAACTTTAATTGTATATAACTGAAAATAAAAAAAATGAAAAAATTATAATACGTAATTATTTTCAAATTAAGAGAATATAATAATATAATATAATGATATATATATATTTGTGAAGTTATTTTTGCCTCTGGGCCCACACGTTAAATTAAATTTATTTTTATATTTTTATATATAAGTAATCCTTAAACATGAATTTATCATAATAAAATAAAAAAATTATTCAAAAACAAAAAAAAACGTGTTTGGCAAAAATAAAATTTAATTATATTATTATCTAAACTAATATTATTCTTTTTGTAAGATCAATTTTTGAATGTATATTTATCGATTCAATTTTCAAATTGAAAGATAGATTTCTATATTTTTATTAATTAAGAAGAAAGGAAGTAGACTTTAGATTTTTTTAAAGTTTAAAAGGAAGAAGTATATTTTTTAAATTTGTGAATAAATTTATCATGTAAAAAAGAATAATGTTTTAGGTTAAATTTTTGGATGAATATATCATTTATTTTGACGATTTTTAAAATGATTTAAAGATAATTAAGCCCGCATGTGCCGACAAAACACCTAGTTACTATAACAAGGGGTTAGCTATAGTAGGGGGTTAGTTATAATATTTTGTTTTACATGTCTATAACGTCTGCCTGCGAATAGATTTTCGATTTTATAATCATTTATATTTAGTTATTATGAAAAGTGATAAAAATATATTATTACAATATGGTGTTTTATATTATGTAATTTAATATGTCTTGTTCGATATTATTAATATATAATTATTTATATTCATATTTTTATTTATCTATAGCAACATATATTAATATAAAATTTATTGTAAATTAAATTCTTTATAAAAATTAATATAAATATATATAAGAAATAAAATAAATAATTATCTATTTAACATGTTCTGTTAAATTTCTGAAATTTTCTAATGTAATTGAATTAGATTTTTTTTATAATTTCTCATAGATTAAAACTTATTTTGATGAATTTAAGAAATTAATTATTTTATTTAATTTAAAAACATAAAAATCAACTGTAAACTAAAAAATCATATAATTTGACTCAAAACTCAAAATCAAACACAAAACTAACCTATTCACATTATTTACGAAAATGCCATTAATTTTTTTTTTCAGAAATTGTTTTTACTCTTCCAACCGCATCATCTTCAAGTTTTTACAAGATTTTTATTTCCATCAATACCCTAACTACCATGAACAACCAATTTGAAGCTCTTAATGCATATAAAATCAATTTACTCTCTCTCTTTCTCAATTGTTATGAACTAAAAACAACATCTCTTTCATTTTGTCTCCATATTCATCCAAAAAACTGAAGCTTTTGATTCAAAAAAATTTATGGTTGATAAAGCCATTCAAGCTTACTATTCTTGGTGGGTTACTCTCGTTTGAGGTTCTGGGTGGTTGGAGATGACTCTGTGTGCTAAGAAAGTCATCTCATTAGTTTAAGGTATGAAACTGAAATTTTTGACAGATATGTTCGCGTAGAAGACTTACCCGTAAATTGTCTGGCTGTAGAAGACTTACGGGTAAGTGTTTTGGTTAAACAGACGACTTACTTCTAAGTTGTCTAGCTTTGTTTGTTATAAAAAAATCTAGAGAATACCATAAACGACTTACCACTAAGTCGTCGATGATAAACGGGTTAGTTTTGCGTTTAACCGAACTGTGTCATTTATTTGACTTTTCATGGACGACTTATAATTAAGTCATCTCCGGGAAACAAAAATTTCAATATTTTATTAAAGCTAGACAACTTATATGTAAGTCGTCTCAAGTTAGTTTTGCAATTG